TTATCATGGAACGTGATTTCCTGGAATCTTAACTATATTATACAATTGTAGTAATTTCAATGCTAGTTGGGTCAAATCGCATGATATAGGCGGCCAATGGACTGCTTCAAAACATGATATTAATTTGTCATCGAACTCGCCTCTCAATAGGTTCATAGTTCATGACACCATTTTATTAAAATCACATATCAACCAAGTCCAAGTACGCCAACCGGTCCAATGATGCCACCGGCTCACAAACTCCACCAAACAGTGCATCTTTCGCAATGGATTGGCAGCTCTTGAATTGGCTGATCTTCACACCAAATTTGGTAATTCTGCTTGTTGTTTGACTATTGAGCCAGAAATGAGCTTCGGTAGAATATTAAATGGACAGTAATCAATTAAAGGAAAGTATTCAAATTTATTTATCACTTGTGTCAATTGGAGCGTAAGTAGATGTATATATGGTTAGGTTAGGTTGATAGGAGAATGTATGTTACGTCAAAACCGAAGAAATACACCTAGGCCACTATCGAGCCTGTTGTGCGCTCCGTTTCATGGAAGAAAAATTTTTGTTGGTAAAGAAAAAAACATTGTGTTAACTGAATGTATTATCTTTCAATGTTCAGAAATTCAGTTTAATGGACGTAATTCCTAATAATTTTCCAATCAGTGTTCACAAGGAACGTTATATTTGGAATAGTATCACTCCCATGATATTTGGATCTAACTTCGACGAATGCCTTACAGTGGCAAAGAAAATGCTCCAGAGTTTGATAGTCCTCTCCACATGCTCTACATTTGTCTGAATCCACACGGCGAATTTTAGCTGTGCCCGTAATCCTGTGTGTCCACTTAGAATTCGTACCATCATACTAACCTCAGACTTGCTCATTTTGAGGAGATTTCTACTCTTGCTCTCATTAAGGTCACCCCTAAGGATATTTGTTGTTCTATTTGCCGTTTCATTATTCTAAGAGGCCATATGGTATTCTCTTGCCCATATTTTTAATTCAGCTTTCGTTGGGTCGAATGGTTTTGCGTTCATCAGGTTAACCACCTCGAGGTCCCTTCCCTTTAAAGGTAATATATTCGCCCTTTCATTGCCGACTACTACCGAGTAGCCTGGTGCCCAAATGACATTTACCGTATCTCTGGAAGAGTATTCAGTTAATGCTTTCTTACAATCCAGTCTTACATTTAACTTTATGATCTAAATGTCCTAATTGCTTTCTGCCTGGAAGCATGTGTTGTGACTAGGTAAACGGTGGTATATTTCAGTTTCTGGATCCTAAATTTGTCCCCCAATTTAGAGCTATGCTCTAATGTTTCGCTTGATCAAGAAATCTATCTGGATTCAGTGTTTCCAAGTTTATATAAATATATACTTTATATATAATTTTTCAATATGTCCAGTATACATTGATAACGTGTCCTATAACCGCTTTTGGCCAGTTTGCCTAAAGTTATGAACCGTTCGTCTGTAAGTACCGCCCCATATCTTTAATATGTTTCAATTGGTGGAATATCTAGCAACGTTTCCAGAGCCTTGGTTGAGGTAGTATTTATCGCAACACTTATACCCAAGCAGCATGTACGCTGAACTGAATAATTGTGAAGAATACTAAAGACACATCTTAGGTCCATGGGAATTAAAAAAAGCCGCAATGATATTCTTTAGATCGCGCCTTACTCAATTAAAGTTCAGCTTGAGGTCAACATTATAATGATATCCAAATTATAATGATTTCATTTGGAACATTTTCTATATTTTTAAAAAAAGTTTTTAAAACAATTTCGGGTTTCATGTGTGATCGTTAAGCTCTCTGATGCTGAGGATCTGCAAAACCCCATACATACATACATATTTCACTGTTCTATCGGTGCTATAATCGGTACTAGAATGTGTTCCTTTGAAATTAGGGAACTCGTTCCCCATACCCGTATATTTTTGCGTAGCACAAGACAAGACAGTGGACCTCACAACACTTTATATGGAAAACTCATTCTTCAGCCGCACTGTTCGTTATGGAACAAACTTCATGCTGAAGTATTCCCCGCCACTTTTGATGTGAAAAGGTTTAAATCAAATGTTCACAAACACAACTCCCTCTATTCTCCCTCCCTCAACCTATTTTCCTAGTTCCAGCACAATGCACTGCATGAGTATGGGTCATCTCCTGATTGCTGGTCCAAGAAAAAAATACTGGGGCGTCCCTCATTTGTAGGGAGAAGGTTTAAAGTACTGATGATCCCACTGAAAGTATTAGCTTAGTTTATTCTCAACATTTTTGTTTTGGGATTAATATTTTATGAGTTGAATTAAGGGATAAGAAGTAAATTTTTAAGGATTTCACATTTCTTTCATATTTCACACAAACCAGTAACATGTGAAAAATATCTGCAAATATTATTGGAGTAATCCCAAAACTACTCCCCTGTAAACATTATTGGTGTACATGATCCGTTCAGTAGTCCTATTTAATGCAGGCATGGATCATGTTTATTGTTTTGGAAAACAACATGGTCCATAGCCTGGCTTACATAGGTGTTGTGTATCATATACTCCCATAATTTTAGTCAGGGAGTATATATGGTATTACAATAATTTTAGCCAGGGTGTAGATGGTCCTCATCTAGGACATCCCAATGTTAAATGGAGTTTGTTTTTTCCATATATTTGTATTAGTTTGGACTATCCTAAGGCAGCGGTTCCCACCGTTTTTTACTTCGCTGACCCCCTGAGGAATTTATTTAATTTCACGGACCCCCCACGGACATATTTTGATATCTTATTGTTATAAATAATTATTCATCCGAAAATTGCCTTAGTCCTGGTCCATAAACCCTATAAAATATTCCCGTACATTGAGAATATTTAGTATTTCGGAGATGTTTTCAATTGCATGGTTTTAAATATAGAATGACATCTAACATGATGTTTAATTTTATGATCGTGAGAGCTTTCATTTTCATTTCTCGTCAAGGTAGCGAAAAGGTTTCTTTATCAATTATTGTCGACATGTGCTTAAAGAGTCATGTTTCTAAATTTTTTTGCGATTGCATAGGAGTGAGCTGAGTATGTAAGCTAAGTTTTCGGGAAAATATGTGAAAGTTAGACTTCTTCGATGTTGTTGCGGAATGCGTTACCCACATAAAATATGACCTGAACTCTTTGTGAATGTACTGTGAATTTGGATCTTAAATTTGAATTTTAAAATACCTACGAATTATTTTACTGCGTGGTTTTAACTATTTACGCAAAACGTTATGAATTTTCTGATGTTGATTTAATAATATTGGACAACAAAATGAAGTTAAAATCTGTGTATCACGTCGGAATGGAATATTTATATTTAAAATTAACTAGATTAACACTTTTGCTTACAATTTAAAAAAATATTATGAAATGTGACCTAACTTCATATTCAAGGATACCAGTATCAGTATTTAATTCTAAGGCAAATCATTATCCGTCTGATATAAAAACATTTATTTCGATACATATACATTTATAAAAATTACAAATCACGTAATACTTTACTTTATAAAAGTGAAACAATAAATTTGTAGGGCCTAGCTTCATCCTGATAAACAACCGAAACAATAAAATTCAAAAAGTCACCAACAAATCTGGGATTATTGAATAAAAATTGTGTATTTTAGTATTTATGAAAAATTTGGAGATATTTTTAATATTTTCTAACATATAGAGAATATTTTTTATTCATGATTTTTTTCGTTCGTCTTCGCGGACCCCCTAGGATTTTGCTACGGACCACTAGGGGTCCGCGGACCCCCTTTTGGGAACCGTTGTCCTAAGGTATAGCTATACGTATCGAACATTTCATCCGAAATGAATTAAAATCATGGGACTTTTTCTCATTTTTGTTCTTATTTTCGTTATTTATGGGCCAAAGCATGTCTGTTAGTCCTTTAAACATACGAACAGACAACCAGACGAAAATTACAAATGGAATGGCAAACTTATAAAGGGTATAACAATAGGGTTTCAATATTTTTGGATCACCTTGTATTATCTTACGAAAACTTAGTGGTTTCCTTATATTAAAGCAAAAACAATAAAGTTCATTGCTTTCTAGTGAAAGGTCCATAACACCAACAAAAATAACATTAGCTTTCAAAACTTATTATGAAAAAAAACTATAAAAATTGTGCTGTAATTTCCGTTACGAAGTCCAAAACTAAAAAACATCAATTAATAATGTTACTTGTCACTTGGACAGCATAAATTACAAGTTATTAAATGAATATATTAAAAAGGTGATTTATTAAACACTCTCTCTCGGCGAATGCAGGCCACCAAAACGAAATGATATGGTTAAAGCCAGCAGCCACCAAGGACATAAGAATACCACTAATTGGTATATTTATTAATAAAACACACGGTTATAAAAAAAAAACAACATAAACAACCAACCGCTAGTAAACAAAATAAAAACATAAGAAAAAACATTTCTCACAATTTTCAAACATGCAAAACATATTTGTTAAGTATAACACGCCCTCTATGTACAGTAACTGTAAACTAAAGCTAAACATTTGCTTTAGATATAAAGCAATGAGTAAGAAAGAGAGAGATAATTTTTATGAACAATCATTGGTTAAGGAAACAACAACAATTGCTAGAAGAAACAGCAGCTACCTGTCAAAGAAGAATGGCCAACATCAAACGAAACACATCAAACCATTGTTAATAGGTTTGACTGAATAGAGGGAGAGTATTTTCAGTATGTGTATGGTGTTGTTGTTTCATCTGACACATTTACTTCACAGAAAAGCAACGATCCTCTAGTGAGATCGACGAATACATCAGTTAGGTTTACAACACGAAACAAGCAACATCAAATTAACTTAAACCAAAAAAAAAAAAATATTAAGAAAACATTTCTATATTTTAATTTTAACACAAAATACAACAAACGTTTATAATTTACAAAAAATATTAATAATTTTGCAAAAATTTAACAACAATTTATGACAAAGTGGATTTATAAAAAAAACAACAATAACAAATTAAACAAAGAAAATTATTACAATAATTAAAACATATACAAAAGTGCTAATTAACAAAAAAAAGTTTTCAAATAAATAAAACATGACTGTAACAGCTTTTGCCGCCGCCATGCACCGACCTTTCTTTAATGGATACCCTTCTATGCAAGGTAAGTTTATCACCCTTCTCTCCAAAACCAAGATCTAGTGATCTTTTCCCTTCCTCTCTTACACTCTCTCTTGGATTTAGTTCTCTTTACAAAAATCCTTGATTTTTCAATAGTTTAAAAATTTAATAGCCCACATTAAGTCACAGTTAGAAAGTCTTCTTTTGTGCAATGACCTTGTCCCTATGCACATAATTATTCGCTGCAAACACTTCCTAGGAAGTCCAACACAAATTCCCTTTACAACAAATATTTTACTTACCAGCAGCAATTCATCATTTGTCCATAATGTCTGAAATTCAAGTCATAAATCAAGTGGCACTCGCAAATAGCGTTTAGGAAGAAGACATTCTTTAATATGTCATAAAACTCACACCCCGGCGGGAAGCACGCGAACGTGTTAAAGTTGTTCTTTTGTGTCCCTCCGTCTACCTGAGCGTTAACGCAGCTTGATTGCGAAATTTCTAAGGAAACGACACGCGCATATGAAAAATGTTGGGAAAAATTCCTGAAAATCTTAATTTTAAAAGTAAAGAAAACTAATTTATGCCTATTTTTTTGCTTACAGATATGAATGCTGGTCAAGGACGCGTCAATCAATTGGGTGGAGTATTCATCAATGGTCGCCCCTTACCCAACAGTATTCGCTTGAAGATTGTTGAAATGGCTGCCGAGGGTATACGTCCCTGTGTTATTTCTCGCCAATTGAGAGTTTCCCATGGTTGTGTTTCCAAGATCTTGAATCGTTATCAAGAAACTGGTTCTATACGTCCAGGAGTTATTGGTGGTTCCAAACCTCGCATTACCACTCCCGAAATTGAAAACCGTATCGAGGAGTACAAACGTGCCAATCCTGGTATTTTCTCTTCGGAAATTCGCGATAAACTTATTCGTGATGGTATCTGCGATCGTACTACAGCTCCTCCAATTTCGGCCATTTCTCGTTTGGTGCGTGGTCGTGATGCTCCCTCTGAAGCTGATGAACAACACAAGGGTTCGGGTTCAGAAGCTACCAATTCTCACGAAGATGTTTCCGATTGTGAAAGTGAACCTGGCATTGCTTTGAAACGTAAACAACGTCGCAGTCGCACCACCTTCTCGGCCATGCAATTGGAGGAACTCGAAAAAGCCTTTGAACGCACTCAATACCCCGATATCTATACCCGAGAAGAATTGGCTCAACGCACCAATCTTTCAGAGGCTCGCATTCAAGTTTGGTTCAGCAATCGTCGTGCTCGTTTGCGCAAACAAAATACCTCCGGTGGTGCTGCTGCTGTAACCAATCAAGTTCCTGTGATGGGTGGAATGGGCTCCTCTTATGCTGCCGTTCCCAGTCATCATGTACCTTATGCTGCCATGATGCCTTCAGAGGCCTCCGTAGCTGCTGCTGCCTATCAACAACAAATGTATGATTTCTATGCCGGTCACTCTGCTTCAGCCGCTGTAGCTTCTTCGTCCACCGCCAATATGTCGCCAGCAGCCACCAATTCCAGCGGTAATTCTCTAACACCACCACATCATCAACTTTATCATGGTATGGCCAGCAACCAAAGCAATAATCAATACAATGTGCCCTCGGCTGCAAGTCTAAATATCAATGTTGGTTACTCCTCCGCCGGTCAATCGGTACTACCTCAAACCAACTATCACCATGAAACTGAATCAAATGCTCCCATTGTACGTAATGAAAGTCCTAGTGAATCTATTAACTCCGCCTATGGTTCTTCAGGCATACAATTGCCTCCCACCCCCAACAGTTTATCGGCTGTTATGGGTAATGGTCCTCATTCCGTTAATGGCAATAGCCATGAAGATTTACAAGCTGCCCTTAAATCAGAAACCTCCTCAAATGGCCATCAACTCTACAACAACTGGAATGCCAGCCACAATGCCACCAGACCCTCAGCTCCCTTATCACCTGAAGATTCTCTCAACTCTTCTGGCTTGGAAGCCTCTAGCTCATCGTTACCTTCGGCTTCGCAAGCTTCCTCAGCCCATCATATGTATGCTCATGCCGCTGCTGCTTCTCAATATCCCAGCTATCCTCATCATCCCCATCATCATCCTCATCATTCCCAATATGGTCATCAATATTCCACCCCCTCGGCTGCCCAACAGTTGCCTTTTAATCCTCATGCTGCCTCCGCTTCCAGTGCCGCCGGTGCTGCCTCCTCGCATTTCATGCAACAAAACTTTGCTGCCTTTAGTTCTCCCTCGAAAGTCAACTATGCTGGAGTTTCCCAACATTTCTATCCTCCCTGGTATTAAGTTGTGTGCGCTCAGTTTGAGGTGCAAGCTGGGCTTACACTTTTACACAAAAATTTTACTTTCGAAATGTTTTGCCAAAGATTTAATTTGATGCTGATTTTCTTCCATTTTTTTTAAACGTTCAAATAATTTAATCACTTTTTTTAATTGTAAATATTTTTTTAAGAAAAATTGAGGCTTATATTTGTATTTTTATTTTGTACATTTAAATTTAGTTTTTAAGTTTTATTTTATGTAATTTTTAAGTATTTCTCATTTATAGCTCTTAAGTTGAATAATTTTATTAAAATACATAATTAATTAAAAATAAAATTTCCATTTTTTTTATTTAAATCGAAACTAATTTAGAACAAATTTTAAAATCATAATTTAAAATATATGTTCTAGTTCTAGTTAAGTTCAGCTCTAGTTTTGTTTTGGTTTAGTTCCAGTTCAGTTTTAGTTTAGTTCTAATTCCAATTCAGTTCAGTTCGAGTTCAGTTTTTGTTTAGTTCTAGTTCAGTTCTAGTTCAGTTCTATTTCAGTTCTAGTTCAGTTCTAGTTCAGTTCTAGTTCAGTTCTAGTTCAGTTCTAGTTCAGTTCTAGTTCAGTTCTAGTTCAGTTCTAGTTCAGTTCTAGTTCAGTTCTAGTTCAGTTCTAGTTCAGTTCTAGTTCAGTTCTAGTTCAGTTCTAGTTCAGTTCTAGTTCAGTTCTAGTTCAGTTCTAGTTCAGTTCTAGTTCAGTTCTAGTTCAGTTCTAGTTCAGTTCTAGTTCAGTTCTAGTTCAGTTTTAGTTCAGTTCTAGTTCAGTTCTAGTTCAGTTCTAGTTCAGTTCCAGTTCAGTTCTAGTTCAGTTCTAATTCAGTTCTAGTTCAGTTCTAGTTCAGTTCTAGTTCAGTTCTAGTTCAGTTTTAGTTCAGTTCTAGTTCAGTTCTAGTTCAGTTCTAGTTCAGTTCTAGTTCAGTTCTAGTTCAGTTCTAGTTCAGTTCTAGTTCAGTTCTAGTTCAGTTCTAGTTCAGTTCTAGTTCATGTTCAGTTCTAGTTCAGTTCTAGTTCAGTTCTAGTTCAGTTCTAGTTCAGTTCTAGTTCAGTTCTAGTTCAGTTCTAGTTCAGTTCTAGTTCAGTTCTAGTTCAGTTCTAGTTCAGTTCTAGTTCAGTTCTAGTTCAGTTCTAGTTCAGTTCTAGTTCAGTTCTAGTTCAGTTCTATTTCAGTTCTAGTTCAGTTCTAAATGCGATAGTTTTTTTTTTTTTTTTTAAATTTACGTTTTTATTTTAAGTATTTATACAAGAATTGGACATTGTTATCTATAATATTTTTTCTGGTAACATATGTATTCCGTGCCAAATGAACTCTCATTTTTCAGGGCCAAGAACGAATCAATACAATTTCGGATACCCGGTTCGAGGTAGGGCCTATCCAAGAGAGAGTGTTTTGCATCGATCAAAACGGGCAGGGCAAGGTCTGGGCTAGAAGACGTTGATGGCAAATATTTTGTACTGTGTGACCTATAGGTATAAACCTGTGACACGATATTAGTGATAAGTTCACATTACCCCTACGTGAGATGAGCACTCACTAGCAGAATATTTAATGGGGAATGAGCTGTGTAGCATCTAGTCGGTTGAAACATTTGTATAAAATAATTTTATACCGTTTAGTTGTTTGTTAAAGTTCGGAAGCATTTATTGAAAGACCATATATAACAATCAAATACTTTCATACAGTTTTCACGTTATGTAAACTGTGATCCTTGCCATTTTCTAACAACTCCAATCTGTATTTCATTGTAAAATAAAAATAATGTGCTAAATATTCCAAGAAATTTATTTCGCTTCTTTTCTCTATTTCTTTCCACTGTTAACATTTCAAAAAGCAGCGAAAATATTCATGTACTCCCATTCAAAATAAGCGGCACATTTTCATGGTCACTGCCACCCATGGTTATATCTAATGGTCTATTAGTCCTTGACACGCTTCCGTAAACTACGGGACACTTATTTATATCCAAAATAACCGAAAAAAAGAAAACTTGCTAAATTATTTTCAATAAAGATGTCTTGTATCTTCTTCAGGAACAACAACTCAATTTGACAAAATTATGGGTTCAATTTCGATTGAGTGAATATACTGCTGCAGCCCATAAATACCTTTAAGTAGCAGTATTTTGGAAACTTGGCATGAAATCTCAACAAACACCACAGGATATTTGCAAGACGCACGTCTTCACTTATTAACATTGAAACATCGTCAGAAAATTTGTTGTCCTTTTTTGTTGTTTCTTGTTGTGTCTCGTTTGGGACACCACACTGTGCACACAAATAAGTAAATTCCAACAAATGTCGAGAGATAGAGCAGAGAAAAGAGCACAAAATTTACAATCTTAATAATTTTCAGAAGTGGGCGGCATGTTTTTAAGATCTCTTAAATTGGGTGCAATTTTATTAGGTAATTTTCACAATAAATTTTAGATAAATTAAACGAAAGGATTTAATGGTTATCATGAAAATCAAACCAGAGTAATTACGGTTGGATAAGGTGTGAATTTCATTTAAAAGTAGATCAGTTTTACTTAAAAGAACTTCGCATGTTTCACGAAATTCACACTCAAAGAAATTTCTTAAGAATACATGCTCCTTTCAATGTAACTAACTAACTAACTAACTAACTAACTAACTAACTAACTAACTAACTAACTAACTAACTAACTAACTAACTAACTAACTAACTAACTAACTAACTAACTAACTAACTAACTAACTAACTAACTAACTAACTAACTAACTAACTAACTAACTAACTAACTAACTAACTAACTAACTAACTAACTAACTAACTAACTAACTAACTAACTAACTAACTAACTAACTAACTAACTAACTAACTAACTAACTAACTAACTAACTAACTAACTAACTAACTAACTAACTAACTAACTAACTAACTAACTAACTAACTAACTAACTAACTAACTAACTAACTAACTAACTAACTAACTAACTAACTAACTAACTAACTAACTAACTACTAACTAACTAACTAACTAACTAACTAACTAACTAACTAACTAACTAACTAACTAACTAACTAACTAACTAACTACTAACTAACTAACTAACTAACTAACTAACTAACTAACTAACTAACTAACTAACTAACTAACTAACTAACTAACTAACTAACTAACTAAATAACTAACTAAACTAACTAACTAAATAACTAACTAAATAACTAACTAACTAACTAACTAACTAACTAACTAACTAACTAACTAACTAACTAACTAACTAACTAACTAACTAACTAACTAACTAACTAACTACTAACTAACTAACTAACTAACTAACTAACTAACTAACTAACTAACTAACTAACTAACTAACTAACTAACTAACTAACTAACTAACTAACTAACTAACTAACTAACTAACTAACTAACTAACTAACTAACTAACTAACTAACTAACTAACTAACTAACTAACTAACTAACTAACTAACTAACTAACTAACTAACTAACTAACTAACTAACTAACTAACTAACTAACTAACTAACTAACTAACTAACTAACTAACTAACTAACTAACTAACTAACTAACTAACTAACTAACTAACTAAATAACTAACTAACTAACTAACTAACTAACTAACTAACTAACTAACTAACTAACTAACTAAATAACTAACTAACTAACTAACTAACTAACTAACTAACTAACTAACTAACTAACTAACTAACTAACTAACTAACTAACTAACTAACTAACTAACTAACTAACTAACTAACTAACTAACTAACTAACTAACTAACTAACTAACTAACTAACTAACTAACTAACTAACTAACTAACTAACTAACTAATGAAGGATAGGTGAATTTTCAAAATTCAATAAAAAAATAGATTGAAAAAACTAAAATTGATTTTCAAACACAAGATTTGCAAATTTTAAACCAACTTTAATAAAAAAATCGTTTTAAAACTGTTAAATCATTCCATAAACTCTTCCAATAACTTTTTTCTATTATTTTTTAAGTGTATCAGTTCTAACCACTTTTCACACCTTCGCAATTTCGTAAAACAAATTTCATGATCATTAATTTCCCACTATAGAACGTTACAAATCTCTTGGAATTAAATAATTCCAATCACTTTATTTTAGTTTTGGAGAAAAACAATTAAAACTCAATTTCTGTTACTTTTCTTTAAAAAATAACATTAACTTAGACAGGATGATCCCTTTAAGACAGTTGTCGTCTCCTTGCTTGTGCACGGACTTACTATTGTTATTATAATCTACTTTATGTGTTAAACTCACAAAAAAATATTTTTCTAAAACTGAAAATTCAGTTCAATTCGTGTTTGTCGATGGACGGACTAATATTTCAACAGATCATCCCTGTACTTTGGCACCTCATTAGTTGAATTATTTATTTATTTTAGAAAATCCTTTTAATACCCATTTTTTTAGTTCACACCTTAAATAAATATTGACTTTGAAGTCAACTTACGATTATGTATGTCGTGTACGTTTTGGAAATTGTTATCGTAAGTAGACTGGCGCCGTGTTTACCTGTTTCATACTTGTTTGCAAAAAAAATGTTGTGCAGTTTTTATATATTTGCCAAATCTGTTTGTATTTCATAGAATTTGCGATTACAGATCTTTTAAAATTTTTGAGCAAAAATTTATGAATAATCATCATGATTGTAATTTGTGTCAATTTTGGATTTTGTGATGAGTTATAATAGAATAGGTAAGAATATGTTTAAGTTGACTTTAAAGGCCGCTTGCAAGAAAAAGTTTTTAACCAGGTCAAAACACATGATCTCGGTGGCCAGTTCATCAATTTCAACCTTGTAGAGCGGATGGTGGAATACATAACCAAACTATAGATTACTTAAAATGGTTACCTGGAGCATAGACGTGGAAGTTGAAGAATATGCATCAAAAGATCACATTTAGCCAATCCCAAGAGACTCCGAAAGAAATATCGTCTCCCTCAACCTCTTCTGAAACAAAAAGAATCCTATCCCCAGAGTAGTTAAAACATAGAACAAGCCAAGAAGAAAAAGAACTCAACATCTTCCAAAATACTGACAAAACATCTTAAGTAGTCTCTTGTCAGAATCATAACGTGGAAGAGGAAGCTTGACGATGAAAAGGATACACCAAAGTAGCTAAGAAAAGATACCG